TCAACATCGGCTTTCCGTCAACAGTCCGCTGTTGAAAACTTAGTGTTTTTTAGCCATCGTACTGCTGTTGAACCGCCCACATCTTTACTGCTAACGGACCGATTAGCAAGCCAACTTGGCAACAAACCGGTTGGCCGAATTCAGCACGGCATAAGTGCTGACAGTGGTCCGTTGCCGGTCCGATTATATATATATCCAATACACACACACATATATATATATATATATATATATATATATATATATATATATATATATATATATATATATATATATATATATATATATATATATATATATATATTCTTATATATTTGCCGTACATATACAAAACATTTACAAGTTTCGTGAATTAAAGGTGTAATATTTACAAGTCTCGTGAGTCAAAATATATAATGAAATTTATAATTAAATAGTACGGGCCGGACTTCAAGAAGATTGTAAAGATCTTATCACGAAGCCCTTACAATGTGGTATATATTATGACTATGTTAAATATAATTTGCGAGGTTAGAATTATTTTGTTCTATCTCCACTTTTTGATAAAAAATGAGTTATTAATTGTGTAATGTACCTCAAAATAATGTTTTTCTGCTATATTAAAACCTAAGTTAAAATCAAAAAAGTTTCGGAGAAAACATAAGTAATAAAAATCTTTTTATAAGTTTTTATTTTTTAAATCGTTTTATCTCGAAACAAAAAAATGTGGAGATAAAACAAAATAATTCTAACCTCGCGAATTATATATTAAGTACAACTATATTTTTATAGTCTTTTAATTAAACTCATAGTAAAAAATAAAATCAAAATAAGCTCAGGATAAAAAATTAAACATAAGAAGCAGCATAATAACTAAAACTAATAAGAAAAAAAACAAGTTTTTTTTTTGTGTGTAATAAACAATTTTTTGATATATTGTTGAGAAAGGTAGGAGAATTAGATAATACACATAAACGAGTCAGTTCACTTTGTAGTTGATATATATGTAATTTAATTAATAGTCTTAGAAGAATTCAGAGTATTTTTTTAGATTCAGTATCAGATTTTTTAACTTTATTTTCAAGGAATTATGATTATCTGGATTGCAAATTGATTTATTTTTAGTTACTAGTTTATTGTATAAATAAGGACCCCGATATGAAATTGAGAACCGGGAAAGTTTAATTTTTTTGAAAGGTGTAATAAAGTTTCCTATTTCTCTTATGTTATATTTATTAACGTTATTTATAAAAAGTTATATATATATATATATATATATATATATATATATATATATATATATATATATATATATATATATACTCAAATAAATTAATAAAATAATATAAGCCATAAACTATATTTAAAAAAGTTATTTTAAAAAAGTCAGTAATTTTCATCTAAATAAATAAGCATAAGAAAAAGGAAAACATCAGTTTATAAACGTTTATAACTTCGCTTTTTAATTTAACAATAAAAAAAATTTCATTGTTAAAAAAAACAATGTTACTTATTTGATTATTCTAAATTTTTTTTATATCTGCTATTAACATTTAAGCCCGTAAAATATTAAAGCAAAAATTAGAATAAGTTCGTCAAATGCTGCTATTCACCAATATCTTAGCTGTGGCCGACGACACGGCTATCGAAGTGGAGGATGGGGGAGGGGGGAAGACACAGTTGTAAATTTTAAAAAAAGCCCTCTATATCTAGAATTTTCTTTAAAAAAAAATAAGCAAGCGCACATGTCTTTCTCCCCGGCCTTCTTTATGTCGTCGGCCCAGTTAGCTGGTACAAAGTAACCACTTTTTAATCAAAAAAAAATTCTTTTAATCAAAACTCAAGTATACTATTATATATATATATAATAGTATACTTGAGTTTTGTACTATACCCAGCAGGCACAATGACGTTGAAATAACGTTGAAACAACGTCGCAAACCGACCATATGCCACGTTGAAACAACGTTGAAATTTGGTTGAATTGGAAATAAAATCCGACGTCGAAAACTACGACGTTGAAACAACGTCAATGATTACGTTGTTTCAACGTTGATCTAACGTCTTATCGACTACATATCAACCATATTTCAACTTTGAATAGGTGATATATTCGGTTGATACGTAATTGATACGACGTTAGAACAACGTTGAAACAACGTAAACTCAACGTTGATTTTTGTTTTTTATTTTGGTTAAATCCAATTAACTAAAAAATTATCTCAACTTTAATTGCAATAAAATAACACAATAAAAAAGCAATAATTTGCGCAGAGAATATTGTATTTCAAGTATATTAATCAGATACAACTAAATTGCTTCAAGGGACTTTATATACAATGCAAATAAAGTAAAATGTTTGAAAAAAAAAAGTTTTATTTATCTGTAATATATTTATCAATTTATCAATAATAACTATTATCAATAGTTCCAGAACAACTAGGAATAAGTATGAAGGTTAAACATCGGGTGAATCGCCTTATACGCGCCAACCACCACCATTTGATCTGTCGAGTGCGTATTTTAATAAAGTCATTATTCCTTTTCTTATTTCGGCAACTGTAGCAGTCACTTTAATTGACAAGACGCTCTCTATAAAAAAAAGGTATTGCCTGAGTAATTTGCATCAAAAACATCAAAAAGTTAAAAATAAAATAGCATTAAAAAAACGAACTGTGATTTTTAAAAATATATAATTTTACACTTAACTTACAAGTAAATACCTAATGTTTGTTCCTTTAAACTTCTCTTTATCTTTACCGCCAGCCATATTAAATTTTGATAATAAACCATTGGTCAACAACCTGCATTATACATTGTTATTATTATTATAGTAACATAAAAAATTGATAAACATGTTTATCAACTTTTTACAAAATACAAATTATTTTTAATGAAAAATTGCACAAAGGTTTCTTACCAAAGGTTTCTTACCAAACGCAAAAGGTTTCTTACCAAAACGTAATGCAAGTAAGAAAAAGAATTGATACAGGGGAAGAGTTTAGTCCAAGAAGACCACCTTCTAAACGCCAGAAAACACCAAGAGCGAACAGTATAATCAGAAATACCTGCCTGGAAAACAGAAAAAAAGCCAATAAACTTATTGACTAAGCTTATCCATGAAGCTGTAATTGTTGTGTCAGACCGGATCATTTGTAGAAGGCTAAAAGAAGAGGGATTGATGTCCAGCCAAAAATGTCAAAAAAATTCAAAAATATTAAAACAAATGTCAAAAATCTTATATAAATGCAAGATGGTGCAACTTGCCACACAATAAAAACTGTATATACTGTATATAACTGTATATATATATATATATATATATATATATATATATATATATATATATATATATATATATATATATATATATATATATATATATATATATATATATATATATATATATATATATATATATATATATATATAACCAGACAACTCGCATGATCTTAACCCTATAGAAAACATTTGGGAAATAGTAAAGCAAGAGATTGGAAAAAAAAAATCTTACTAATAAGCAAGATTTTATGGAAGAGATAATTAAGATCTGGCACAATAACCCAGAGTTGACAGAAACTATAAAAAATAAATTGCAAGCATGCCACAATGTGTTGAAGCAGTTATTGCAAATAAAAGTGTTTTTGCAAAATATTTATACTTTATATATATTTTATATAATTTATCATAATAATCAATAAATATTCAAAATGTTCAATTTTATTTGTTTATTTTTATCAAGTACAACTTTATAAATAAAAGAAAAAACTTTAAATTGTACCATTTTATATATTAAAATAATGGTACAATTTACAACCTTAAAGTACAACCTTTGTACTTTAAGATTGTTCTTTAGCTCAAGGAAATACAAAAGTAAGAGAAAACAGTTTCAAAAAAAATTCTAATCAGACATAAAAAAAAAAAGATTTATTTTATGTATGATTTGTCAAACTTTTAAAAAAGCATGCTAATTATATTTTTGACACAAGTTTAAAACAAACTATAATAAAAAGATTCAAAAGATTTTTTATTTAAAACTACTTTTAACAAACCTTTGCATCACATTTTTTGTATTTGTCTTAATGGTTTTACCTCCAATTTTAGAAAGTTAGTTAACCTAAAGGTTTAAGAAAATAATAACACCACATTATTTTTATAGTACATTTATAAAAAGTTACAAGTAGATTAACTTAGGCTAAGTTATTATTAAGTACTTAATCAAAAAACAATAAAAAAACTGCAAAAAGTTATGGTTTGAAACAAACCATCACTCCAGACCTCACCCAAGAATCAATTAAACTGTTATCATAATCACTAAGTTAATGCTGCAAGTTCATCCATAGAATTTCAGAACTATTTGTCATGATATTACTTTAATTATTGGAAAGAGCTTTTACTAACATCTCCTTCTAACAACAAAAATACATGAGAAAGACAAAAGAACCAAACATTAATTAATTTCTAAAAGCGTTGAAACACAAGAAAAAAACATTTATAAAATAAAACATTATTCATAAATTAAATTAAATGTATTAATTTAGCAATCAATAAAATGTGTAAATCACTGAAGCATAGAAAAAAATGTTCAGAATCTTTTCTTCCTAAATCAACTTGCAGACAGACAATACCTTGAGCTACAGTATGTGGAGTATGCATAAAAATTGTTTTCTGTTTCTTTTTTTGCGTTACAGGTACTTGCTTACTATTCTGTTGGTTTATATGTTTTCTCTTGCATAAGCATGGTAGTGGTTCCTATAAAAATTAATATTAAAATAAAACTAATAATACTTAAATTAAATATCTTTAAAAATAGTTACCATTTTCTGAATAAGAATCTGAGTATCACTGGCAAATTCAAATTTATCACATAACTCATGATCTAAGAATATTCATTCAATTTAAAAATGCTTTAAATAGAATAGAATAGAATAGAATAGAAAAGGTGCTGTACACACTTGAGGTGTGTAGAGTCTTAATTACGTAGAATTAAGACTATGACAGCCGATTACAAAAATTAGTGTTCAGAAACCGAAATAATTATCGATACTGTTTTTAAAAATGTTCAAATTATCTTTATCTAATATCCATTGTGGAAGAGAATTCCAATCATTTATAACTCTGTTTGTAAAGAAATGGTGACGAATTCTTGATTTTGTAAATTGTCTGCGTATTCTACAATTATTACTTCTACTAGATCGCTCCAGCTCAAAATTTAAAGGAGGATGGTGAAAATTAACAATATCTTTTCCTTTTGAGATCTTATACATTTGAATCAGATCACCTCTTCTTCTTCTATCAAACAAAGTGGGCAATTCAAGTATCTTTAATCTTTCTTCATACGACTTCCCCCTTAAAGATTCAATTCTCGTAGCCCTGTGTTGCACGATTTCAAGATTGTCAATGTCCTTTTTCCAAAATGGACTCCAAACTGTTGCTCCATATTCCAAATGGGGACGTACTAACGATTTGTATAGTAACTTTAATGAAAGTTCATCCAAATACTCAAAAGAGTTTTTGATCATGCCTAATTTTCTGTTTGCTTTACCTATAGCTGAATTAACATGATATTTCCACTCTAGATTATTTGAAATGAAAATCCCAAGATCATTTTCTATCATTGTTTCTGTTAAAACAGAGTTGTTCAATTTATATTCATATCTTGGATTCTTTTTGCCAATATACATGACTTTACATTTTGATTCATTAAATGTAATTAACCAATCTTCAGACCATTTAACTAACCTGTTAATATCCTCTTGTAATATTTTATTATCATCATAACAATGATTGATTGAAATAACTTTGGTATCGTCTGCATATAATTTAGTG